ATTATTATTATTATTATATGAACATTATATTACTTATATACAGTGTGTGTGTGTGTGTGTGTGTGTGCGTGTGCGTGTGCCTCAATCACTCACACTACACACTGGCAGTTATACACGGTGGCACACACACTTCCACTCTAACACACAGATCCAGTACTTTGCGTACCTTGTTGTTCTCTGTCTCTTCATTCTCCCCTACTCTCATTTACATATGATCACACTCTGTTTGTGTATGTTTTGTATATTGTGATCATGGACTGGTCAGGTCAGACAGGTTCTACAATCTGATTCCTGCAGTGAAGACACTGTACACACACAGTGCAACAAATCTGAATTGAGACCCAGAGATGTTGATGTTTTTCCTGTTCCTGGACAGAGAGACAGACACAGAGAGGAAGTGAGGGAGGGAGGGAGGAAGTGAGGGAGGGAGGGAGGGAGAGGCTCCAGGCAGATGATGAATCAGATGAACAGTGTGAAGAAAGAGATAAGGCGGAATGAAGAAAAAGGAGGATGAGAGGGAGAGAAGAAAGAAGCATGCTTGGGAGCCCCGTGGGTCTTTGCTTGCGCAGGGTGGAGGGCAAATGGAGGTATGGTGCAGAATTCGAATGTCTCGGTGTGAGTGGGTTCACCAGCAATCTGTACTGAATTCATTACACATCCCAACATACAGTCCTGCTAGTGCCTGGAACTGATGAAATTTGTGTCACGTGGTGTTACATTTTTAAAGCTGCACTGGGGAATTGTCTGTGTTGGCATCTACAAATGACACCGAAAAGGTATCAGTTTGCCATTTAAGAACTTCACCGCCTTGACATATTGTAACAATGCTTCAGTTAACTGCACACAGTGCACTAATTTATGCCAAACTACAACACACTACATTTCTCTATGCCATTAGGTAACAGCAGCATTAGATGTTGGACAAAGAAAATGTTTGATAAAATGTATGAATATAAATTACAGAACGTGCAGTGGATATTTCCTTCAGGATTCAAATGCAGCTAACGGATCAGGGTTGAAGATGTTTGTTGGCTACAAGCAGTCATGACATTTTATAAGCTATGAGATGAGTGCACAAATTCAGCTTGGTAAAGCTCAACTATGTTTTTAATCCAACTGAATTGATCATTACTTTTGCATGGTGATTTCTTATGACGTATTTTTGTAGGAAGTTAGCACTGGTTCCTTTGACAAAAGCCAAATGGATTTGGGATTTTTGCTCTGAGGCAGGTTATTTTTTATTTTTACCATTGCTTATATTAAAGTAATATAGCGTTTATAAGATTGTTGTAGTTTGTGTAAATTAAGCTTATTTTGTTGAAATAAGTGGTTATTTCTTCCGCACTGTAGCAAGAAGTTGGATGGATGGTGAAATGTGTACAGTCTGAACTACCGTGGGTTACAGGTGTGTGTCTTTGTGTGTTTCTCACTGCGTCTATACATCGCCAGCTTTCTGCCGGTCATGGTGGTCAAATGTACTGCCAGCATGGACTCTGTGCTCCCAGTCAAGCAAGTTTAGTTTGATTTAAGTTTGTTCTGGCCAGACCACCCTCTCTCTCAAATCTAGCTATGTTTACATCCAGCTGTCAAGTGAATTTTATGCAAACTTTTAAAATTCTGCAAAATAAGTAAAATGCAAATTAGGTGTTTTCCATCAGTCCGTTTGAAGGGTATAAAAACGGGTTTCCTGAATGTCAAAACTAAACATCCACTAGAAAGTTGAACAGTGTTTTTGGACATGATATCTTATGGTCTCTCAGCATCTCCAAACCATCCCTTCATTTTTCTGCAAAAACACTGAACCATTTTAATGCCAAAAACAATCTCTATTAAAGCAATAGTATGTCATTTTGGGAAATACATGTGTGCACCTTCTTGCCTAGAGTTACATTAGAAGATTAATACAGACTTCAAAAAGTTGCTGCTCCCAGCAAGGAAATTGTGTGGCACATAACCGCCTGTAAAAGCACAGCTTGGCATTTTTACATTTGTTCTCATCTAACTTAAATCAGATGAGAAGTTTATTTCCCACTATTCATTAAGGTATTTATGTATATAGTCACAGAGAGGGTTGTTATGAGTAACAATATAGTTATACCTTCCAAATATTAGCAAGATGTTGTGCGGCCTTGCACTGAACCAACTTCCTGTCAGGAGTAGGGCTGTGTAAGGATCTGTAAGCAAGTCGATATATTGGGATTTTTAAAAAATCTAATTTTAGGAACACTGTTACAGTATAAAGAGCAAACCACCATATGTATAAAATATATATAAAATGTAAGTTAAAAAAGTTCACTTTTTTCATGCAACCAGAACAGATCTATCACAGATCCTGAAACACCCAACATCATAGCCCTCAGTTTATGTTTTAAACACTGGTATCTAGTAGTTGGGGGTATAAACACAAAAATCAATAGTGTTTTTGAGAATCAGTACAATATCACAAAACAAAACATTGCAATACTTTTGTTTTGTGAGATCGATGTTTTCTTACAGCCAAGGTCAGGGGGCAGGTATGATGTTGGAAAGGAAAACCAAATCACCATTACAGTCAAAATTCACACACATTCAATTAAAAAAACAGCCACGCGGACACTTACGAGCATGTTCCAGCCTCGTTCTGAAACATTTGCATACTTAATTGATACATACATCACTGGCCAAAAAATACTTTAAAAAATCAGTATGTACGTTTTTGCAGTGACTGATGAATTATTGCTGTCTCTAGCCAGCTACTTAATTTCAATAAATAAACCTCTGTGTCTCACCATCTATCTGGAGTAAGACTCAACAGCAGAAGGGGAAGATATTGGATTGAAGGAGAGGGGGG